CTTACACTCCAGCTTTCAGGGGTGAGGCTTGTGTGGCGAGTGCTTACACCCACTGAGCCACTGGGCCATCTCGCCAGGCCTGTTGCTTTGTTGTCAGTGGTTCTGGGTCAGTTAAGCACAGTTAAAACAATGTTGGCAGCAGTGTATCTGCGGGTCCCTTCTTCCTACCTAGACAGTGATGGAACGCCTCTGGATTCCGTGTTCAGCAGTTGATCTTGTGAAGTGCATGTACTTTCTCGTGTTTGGGTGTTGTGGTAGGTACTTTTTGCTTGGGTCTTATAGGAATGGCTCTTAAATTTTTTGAAAAGCTTTTACTACAGCTTGATATAATCATTATTTTTAATCCTTTAATAGTATGAATTATTTTAACAGATTAATATTGAACTGTTCTTTCATTCTTACATAATAAATCCTGCCTTAAAAAAATAATCCTCTTAGCTTCCTTTCTCTATTTTCAGATCTGTTTTGTGTTTTGCATGATTTTGAATGTTTATGAAAGTTGAGTCTCCACATAGCCCTACACATAGCTTCAGATCATCACATCGCATCAGGTCCTGCTCCAGATCTAATTTTTTTCACATATACTCCTGATAATTTTGAAGTATCAGGTATAGTATTTCATAGATAGAAATATTTTGCTTTTTTTTTTTTTTTTTTTTTTAGGATAAACTTCTTTTAAAAAATAGTCCTGAGCTGAGGAGACAGCTCAGTTAGTGAGGTGATTGCCTGATGACCAGAGCTGGGATCCCTGCTGCCCATACCCAGGGCCGGGCTGGTGGCACTAACCTGTAGCTTGGTTCTGGAGGTGGCCTGGGGAGACGGGTGGGTCCCCAGAGGTAGCGGCACCTCTGCCCAGGTGGTGAGCTCTGTGCTCAGAGATCCTGTATCAAAAAAAGAAAAGAAAAAAAAAAGGTGAAGGGCTGGGCATAGTGGCATACGCTTTTAGTTCCAGTCCTTGAGAGGCAGAGGCGGGCAGGCCTTTGTGACTTTAAGGCCAGCCTGGCGCACGTGTTCCAGGACAACCAGAGCTACATCATGAGACTGTCTCAGAAAACCGAAAAATTAAGGTGGAGCTACTGTTGAGGTGGCATAGCAGCTAAAGGCACGCGTCCGTCCTTTAGACCGTCCCCTGGAAGCCACACCGTAGAACCAACTGAGTGTTCATCTCCAACCTGTGTGCCAAAGCATGGTGCACACACACACACACAATAAATAAACGTAAAAGCTGGGCGTAGTAGCACTTGTCTTTAAACCCAGCACTTGGGAGGCAGAGGCAGGCGGATCTTGAGGCCAGCTTACCCTACATAGTGAGTTCTAGGACAGCCAGCGCTACTTAGAGAGTAGCTGTCGATGAATGAATACATGAATGAAATATGTACTGTGATGGCGGGTAATAGAAGAAAACATTCATCTAACTGATGTCTTGAGCTCTAGCTTAAGCACACGTGTAGTGCACGCCACCCACATACACATGGACTCACACAGACATGCACTCATTCATATACCGCACATCTTCACACGCAAAATGAAAAGCGGGTACCATTTACATCTAAAGGAGATATCCAGTTAGTGCTCAGCTTCCAGCGACTCACGTAAGGATGTGGAATTGCTAATATGTGTATGTGTCCGTATATATTTGTGTATACATTCATATTTGAATCAGGACCCAGAGAAAATTTACATGGCGGTAGGTTGATGGCCTGGAAGCCTTCTAACACCCATATTTTTCTTCTTGTATCTTTTCCCCTCAGTGATTATTTCCTTAATACCAGGTCATTTGTCTCTAATTCTACAGTTTCCTGTAATCTCTGTTTTGCTGATGGTGTCCTTGTAAAGGTCACCTCAGTTCTCTGTGAAATAGACTTGGTGTGGTGTTTCAGTATGCTGTTATCTTCATCTTGCTATAGGTCATTTAATATGAATATGTATTATAAGATGGGATACTGTTTTTTTAGATATTATTTTAATTTTATGTTTACAAATGTTTTGCCTGCATATATGTGCACCCACATATGTGTCTGGTGTCAGCAGAGGTCAGAAGAAGGTAGTAACTATTCTGGAAGTGAATATTTGCCACCGTTGCGGATGGTTGTGAGCCACCGTGTGGGACCTGGGAGTCAAACCCAGGTCCTCTGGAAGAACAGCTGGTGCTCTAACCTGCTGAACCAGTTCTCCAGGCCCCAAGATGAAAATTTTTAAATACTATTTTATTTTTAATTTTTTAACTATTATTTTCATTATTTGTATGTACCTCCTTGTGGTTGTGCATGCATGTATGGGGAGAGTCCCTTTGGAAGCCAGAGACATCATATCTCTGGAGCTGGGGCTAAAGGCAATTGTAAGTTCCTTAATGTTGGTACTGGCATCCAAACTCAGGTTCTCTTCAAGAACAGTCTGCACTCTTAGCTGCTGAGCCTTCTCTTCAGCCCTAACCAGTTTTTATATTGTTAAATGTTTTTGTTTGTTTGTTTGTTTGGTTTGGTTTGGTTTGGTTTTGGTTTCTGGAGCATGATACCATGTAGGCTGGCCTCTAACTCACTGTGCGTTGAGGCCATCCTTGAGCTCCTGATCCCAAGTGCTGGAATCACAGGCATGCGTCACCATGCTTGGCTTAGCAGATAGTTTTAATAGGCCACCCTTATCCAGCTCTCAGTAGCAAATCAGATCTTCAGGCTTGTTTTATTGAAGTAGCAGAACCCTGATAGGATAACTTGGTAAGATAGCACATACTGACTGAGTAATCGTATGACAAAGTCCAGCATTCGGCAGCCAGACCATTCAAACAGTAAAACAATTATTGTTGAACCCTTGCTCAGATCCCAAATGTTCAATTTTGCCAATAATGACTATGGAGCCAGATGCTGGGGTTAAAGCTTGCTAGCTCAGAGAGGCAGAGAAAGCACCCAGCTGACGTCCCACAAGGAAATACCCTTGAGCTCGGTGACCCTCCTTTCTACTTCCTGTGGGTCTCTGTATCCATCCTTTAGACCTCCTCTCGCTCTCTGTGGTTTCTTTCCCCTATTTGATTCCTGTCATCTTACTGCTTGCTCCGCTTCTTGACCTAAGGTTAACTCTATTTAACCCTGTTTACAGAAAGCTCTTGGATTAAAGGTGTGTGCTATGGCTGAGCCACACCACAAGTACTTGTTTACATAAACAGAAAGCTCTAGGATCAAAGACTGAGCCATACCACAATTAGAAACAGGTTTTTAGAGTTCGCAGTCTCGGGGTTCACAGTAGAATCATTATCCTGCCCCACCCACCCTTTCTTTGCCACGAGCACAGTTTTCATTCTGTTTACCAACACTGCATCTCTGCAGTCATCCCCCTTCCTGTGCTTATGTGGCCTTCAGTTCCCATTTTTCTGTTGCAATTCTTTACTTTTCCAGTTTTCATGTGTGCACATGTGATGTGCGTGTGTATGTATGTGTGTGTCCATTAGCATTTGTACGTGAACATGCTAGTCTAAGGTTTGGGAGTCACCATCCTTAACCAGTTTTTCATTTCTGAGTTTGTCTTGGTGGCAGGGGCTCGGTGAAGCTCAGAGCTCTCCAGTGTGGCTCGCTAGCCAGCTTGCTCTGGGGATTCCCCAGGTTACGGTGAAATTACAGGTGATTACCACATCCACCTGTCATGTATGTGAGCCTCTGGGTGTCTGTACTCCAGTGCTCACACTCAGTGTGCCCAAGCTCTGTAGCCACTGAGCTATCGCTTTACACCAGTTCTTTCTAGTCTGCAGAGGAGTTCGTGCCATCTTGTCCCAGTATGTATTAAATGACATCTTTGTTGCTTAATTAAGCACAGTGGCTGGCCACCTGCCTTCCTTGAAAGTGCAGTCTGGCAGAGAGAAAGAAAACAATAACTAATTAATATAGAACTTAAAACTAAGAGAAGTGTTTTCAAGGGATGAAGTCATGGCTGCAGTAGGACAGAGAAACCTGATCTAAATAAGAGACCAAGGAAATGTCTTTTGAAGTGATATTTGAGCTGAGGCTTGGAGAGGTGTAGCTGTGTTAGAGCCTTCGCATAGTGTGAATAAGTCCCTGGTTCAAATCCAAGTTTGAGATAAGAGCTAAAAAGTGAATATTAAATGAAGCAGATGAGGGGGATGCAGTCAGAGGACCACGTGTAGGCTTGGTGGCAGAAGGAAGCACAGCATGTGCCAGCAACTGGGAGAAAACAGCTGGGCCAGAGGGCAGCAAGTTTGGGATTGCTGAGATGAGCTGGAGGATGATAGCATAGCAGAGCCAGACTCAGGAAAAGTATTGGCGTGTGTGTGTGTGTGTGTGTGTGTGTGTGTGTGTGTGTGTGTGTGCGCGTGCGCGTGCGCATGCGCTTAGTTCATGTGTGTTTGAGATAGGCACATTGTTTGAGGTAAATACAGGGGCCTGGAATATGCTAGGATGATGGTCCGGCAAGACCTGGTTCTGCTTCCATCTGTCTTCCCACCTCTCCAGCGTGGAACTGTAAACACATGTTGCCACATCCTTCTGTGTTTGTGTGGGTGTTAGGGATCAAACTTTAGGTCTTCATGCCTGCACAGCAAGTACTTCACCAACTAAGCTATTTCTCAGCCCTCAATAATTAAATTTTTAAGATGTCTACGACCATAATTGCTTCTCACTGGGAAAAAAAGTAATGGTTTGGATAAGTACATACTTCTGAAAACAGGTCATCTTTTTGTGCTGAAGGATTTTGTATTTAACAGTCTAAATTCTTTTTTCACTACCTCCATGAAGATAATGGCACATAGCATGATATGCTATTTTAATTAAGGAACTAGATAGGAGATGAATACCCTGTAATCAATAAAAAACAAGAACAAAAACCATTGTGGATGTGGGGAAAGAGTAAGTGAAGTATGTACGTAGGAATTAACACGTCTCAAGTATTCAAGAAGGAGAAAAGGTTTTAGCCAGACAATTATTAAAGTAAGCTTAGTAGCTTGTCGGAAAGGCTCCCAAGTTTTTATTCTAATATGTGTGTGTCTGTCTTTGTAGGAGAGTCGTTATTTTGATGGACTTGGAAGTTGTGAAATCAGCTGAAGTGGTTGGAGTAAAGATTGGGAATCCAGTGCCCTATAATGAAGGTAAGAGCCTCCTTACAGGTTGAAGCCCCCAATTGGATTCTAATGTTTAGATCCAGAACACTGCCTTGTGACTTAGACTTAATAAAACAGTCGTTTGGGGAGTAAAAAGTTTGTTATTCTGTTTGTTGTTTTATTTCACTTCTTGAATAGTGAAGAGATGACACGGATACATCAGGAGAAATGTAAGGACGAGGATAGTGGTCATTCTGTGTAGGAGTTGACATGTGTGCATGGGGGTTACAGACTTGGCCAAGTTGGTGTCTTCCTCTAGTGCCTGCTACCTGAGTTCTAGATGGAGGTTCTCATGCTTGACAGACAAGCTTTTTACTGACTGAGCACCTCCCTATCCCAACAAATGTCTTCTTAGGTTTTATCTTAAAGTAGTTATTGTTTTGTTTCTTTCTAGATTTATTTTTCAAGACAGTTTCTCTGTGTCCAGGCTGTCCTGAAGCGCACTGTAGACCAGGCTGACCTCAAACTCAGAGATCTGCTTGCCTCTGGCTCCTGAGTGCTGGGATTAAAAGCGTGTGCTACCACATGCCCGGCTGTTTTTATTTTTAAGTAGTCCTTGCTGGCCTTGAACTTCCTGCTTCGGCCTCCTGAGTGGTGGGGTTACAGATGTGTGCCACTACATCTGACTCACACGGTGCTGCCAAAGCTGGCCTTAAACCCTGTGTAGTTGAAGATGACCTTGTACTCCTGATCCTCCTGCCTCTACCTCCCAAATATTGGTATGATAGGCCTGTGCCAACATATTTAATAACAACCTTTATCTTGACGGCAGAATTATTTCCTGTGCATGTTTGAGGCCGGCCTAGATCACAAGAGACCCAGTCTCAGAGCAGAACGAAGGAGCCTTTGGTCTTTGTCTTGTTCTTCTCAGCCCTGAACCTGGTACCATTAAGTATTGTCAGAGCGGATTGTAATCCCAGCACTCCGGAAGCTGAGTCAGAGGAGTATTGAGGCCAACACTCACTACATAGTGAATTTTAGGCTAGCCTGTGCTACACAATGAGATCCGACCTCAGACTCCTCCTCCTAACAATTTAAGTTTTTTGTTGTTGTTGTTTGTTTTTTTAAATTTTAAGTATATTGGCATTCTGCCTCTGTATGTCTGTGTGAGGTATCAGATTTCCTGGAACTGGAATTACAGACATTCATGGACCACTTGGGTACTGGGAATTGAACCCCTGTCCTTTGGAAGAGCAGCCAGTACTCTTAACTGCTGAGTCATCTCTCCAGCCTGAAATTGAATTTTTTATGGTTGTGCATACCAGCATATATGTGGAGGTCAGAGGACGACCGAGGAGTCTGTTCTGTCATCATGTGGACCCAGGGGCGGAACTGCAAGGGTCATTAGTGTTTGGGTACTCTTCAGCTTTGGCCCTCACCTAGCCAAGCCTGGCCCCTGCCTGGGGTGCTGGGGTGCAGTGTGAGCCGCTGTGCCCAGTCAGTCAACACTTACTCATCAGGATGAGGATATTTGATTTCTCGTTCTTGCTTGCTGACATTTTGATTAAGAATGAATGGTGAGGGGCTGGAGAGATGGCTCAGAAGTTAAGAGCACTGGCTGTTCTTCCAAAGGTCCTGAGTTCACTTCCCAGCACCCACATGGTGGTTCATAACATCTATAATGAGATCTGGTGCCCTGTTCTTACCTGCAGGCACACATACAGGCAGAATACTGTATAAATAATAAATAAATCTTAAAAAATGAATGGTGAATTTTGTCAAAGGTTTCTTCTGTATCTCTTAATAATCGAATGCTTTTTCTATTTTAATTTGCTAATATGGTGAGTTATGATTGATTTTTGGATGCTAAAGGAGCCTGGGATTTTGGGGATAAGTCTGGATTTGTGCTGTATTATCCTTTTTGCATATTTGGATTTGCTTTGCTGAGTCCACTGGATTTGGTTTTGTTTAGTATTTTTTGCATCTCTGTCTATGAGAGATTTTTTTTTAAGACTTATTTTTACTATTTTAATTATGTTTGTGTGTGTTTATGTGTCTATGCCTGGAGGGCCAGAAATGTTAGGTTCTCTGGTAAGTTACAGGTGGTAGTGAGCTGCCTGACATGGGTGCTTGGGGTCTGGACTCCTGGTCCTCTACAGGAGTAGTACACACTCTTAGCCACTGAGATAAAAATTACTGAGCCCCCTCTGAGTAATTTTAGTTTATAGTTTCTCATGCTAGTTTGGTATCTAAGTAATCCTGATCCCACAGGGTGACCTGCAAGACTATTCATTTATGTGTTTTGTAGGTTCATGTAGAATGTTTTTTTTGTTTGTTTGGTTGGTTGGGTTTTTTTTGTTTTTCGAGACAGGTTTCTCTGTATAGCCTCACAGAGATCCTCCTGCCTCTGCCTCCCTGAGGATTACAGACATGTGCCTCCGTACCTGGCTGAATCCTTATTTCTTAATTCACCCGTGATGCTTGGAGCCAGGGCCTTCCCCAGCCTTGATGCCACTCCCTCAGCCACCACTATGCCATCTTGCTTGGATCATACAACAGTTCTGACTCAAGTGTATTTGGTTTATAAATGTGGACATTTTCTAACAATCTCTTCTATTACTGGTAATTTAATTCCCTTATGATCACACAACACGTGTGTGTCTCAAATTCTGTGAAATTTATTTGTTTATTTATTGGGAGGGTTTCCCTGTGTAGCCCTGGCTATCCTGGACTTACTCTGTAAAACAGGCTGGCCTTTGCCTCTGCCTCTGCCTCTGCCTCTGCCTCTGCCTCTGCCTCTGCCTCTGCCTCTGCCTCTGCCTCTGCCTCTGCCTCTGCCTCCCCAAGTGCTAGGATTCCAGGCAAGCGCCACTGTGCCTGGCTGTAAATTCTGTTAAATTTATAGTCTTAGTTTTGTGCTTCAGATTATGATACCTTTTGGTAAACTATGCCTGCACTTGAAGAGAGCATATGTAGTTGTACAGTGTTTCATCGATTCTTCCTGAGGTTCTGTTTGCTTACTCTGTCAGCTGGGAGAGGAATACTAGATCCTCAGACTGTAACTGTAGGTTTGTTTCTGTTGCAGTTGTGTTTGCGTTCTTAGATTTTGAAGGCCTGTTCTGAAGTGTTTGGCCATTTAGAATAACTATGGTTTGGATGAAATATCTCATTATGAGTGCCTTTCTTTACCCACTGACAGTCATATAACCAAACCACTTCTCCTTTTCAAGTCAGTGCTGTCTTGATATGTCTTTTCCCGTAGTCTTATTTCTAATGTATTTATAGCATTAACACAATTTTGTGTTACATTTGAATTTTTTAAGCAGTATATAGTTATGTCTTGCTTTTATTGTCCAATTTGATGATTTCTGTTTTATTTATTTTTATTTTTTTTTTACATTTCTCCGTGTGTGTGTTCAGTTTTGAGACAGGACTGAGTTTGTTCTTTACTCTGGGGTCTGGGAAGGCAGTCCTGTGAGGGGGAAGTGATCAAAAAGCAGGCAACAGAGTCCATGTCAGAGATAGACCCGACTCCCCTTACCAATGAACCCACATGAAGCCTGAGCTGCCCATCAGTAACATATATGTAGAGGACCTTGGTCCAGTCCATACCTGGTCCTTGGCTGGTTCTTCAGAGTCCATGGGCCCCTCTGGGTCCTGATTGGCTATGTTGGTCTTCTTGTGGAGCTTTCGTCACCTCCAACATGGATCTCTGAGTTTTAGTCCAGTCTGGTTTACAAAGTACGTTCCAGGACATCTAGGGCTACACAGAGAAACTCTGTCAGGAAAAACTGGGAGGAAAAAAGAGAAACTTAAGATGTTCATATATCTGTTTCCTTTATATTTTTTGTTTTATGTGTTTGAGCGTTTTGCCTGCATGTGTGTAAGTGTACTGTGTGCAGTCGGTGCTCTTGGAGCCCAGGAGCGGGCGCTCGTTGGCTCCCTGGAATTGGAGGAACAGATGGCCGTCAGCTTCCATATGGGCGCTGTGCTCTTAACCCTGAGCCATCCCTCCAGCCCTGTTCCTTTAACTAGCAGGAATGCTTGTTTTAATTTGTGAGTGGAGCTGCATGGCTTCAAAACCCGCACTCCCGGTTGTACAGAGAGCAGTCCTCCTGCCGCTGTGTCCGCGCCCACTGCTGCCTTTATAGATGACACATCTCCGGGTTTCCTCATCCTTCAGGAGCTTAGCTCCTCCTGCACCCCACACACTTTACAGAAAAGACAACGAGCTCTCTACCCTGTCTTCTTCTGTCCTCCTTTAAAAATGTGTTTTCTGTGAAATAAAGTCTTACCTTGTGGCTCAGGTGGACCTGAAACTCACATTACCCACCTCTGCCTCCTGAATGCTGAGATTACAACGTCCCCCTCCCCTCCTTCCCCCCCTCTTTCTATTTCCTTCTCCCTCTTCCCTCCCCTTCCCTGTCCCTTTCCCCCTTCAGTAGTTCCTGTGTGGCTGTTCCATGGGTTTTTTTAGGCAACTTTTTTGTTGTTAGACCCATTTATTCCCCTGCTCCGACTATTAAATGTGTGCATGATCATGGGTTTGAACTCCAGCACTGCAACAAGGGAAAAAAAGAAAAGTCAACAAGAAGCTACAATAAATTATATCATGGATAGACCAGTATGAGGGCCGAACGGGCTTGTTTACCAGGAAGGATTGTTAGGTTGGCTGGGAATGCGCCTGTGGCTGGCAGATACAGTTGGATAGCCTCGTCTGTGTCTGGGGGTACCGCAGTCCTCAGCGATGCGTGAAAATGCTGCTTTCTTCACGGCCATGCCAACAGGCAGTTACTAATCTTCTCTGTCTCTAAGAATGTGATAGGTGATTTTGCTTTTGCTTTTGCTTTTGACCTCTAAACTGGTTGTTGTTGTTGTTGTTGGCCTGTTTTCTAATATGTTGTTTTTCTTTCCAATTTCTAAGAGTTTTTTTTTTTTTAAATAGGGAGTGTTGTCCTTTGGCTCAGATATGAGTTGTAGACTTTGTTTTTGGTAAGTCGCTTTCCACTTCCCTTCCCATGTTTCTTCCATTATTACCTCTCAAATTC